TTTTTTTTTTTTTAGTAATTTCTTTTTATACGATTTTGATTTTTATCTCTTAGGCTGAAAATTTTATGAGCTATCAGTTATAGGAAGCTATCAAATTTTATGTTTGTATATAGTTGAGAATTTTAGAGATGGACGATAATATCTTGATTTGACAGTTAATGAAGCTGTGTAATCCTGCCCCGTGTCTTGCATAATCCTTTCCCCAAATATGGTAAAGTATATGAGACACGAGAGAAATAGTCAATGGAAATTTCACTTTGGGCTTTTATAAAAGAATTTAATGTTTATGCCTCATTAGTTACTCCTAAATAGGAAGCTCTTAATTCTTTACAAAGGAATATTATAAAGATAGTTAGCTAAAATCGGGTAGTGAACAAAAATTTGAAGCTCTTTTAAAAACTAGTTGTATCTACCCATGCACACACACTGTTCTTTTCATAATATACGGTCTTCAGAATCCTGCTTTTCTCTTTTGTATTCTATTATAATTGATGTGCCTAAGATGACATATTTACCCTCCTTAGAATCTACCAAGTTAGCTTGTTACTGTTCTGTGTACTGTGTCAGAAGACAGGAGACGCCTGCATCAGGAACTAAGGGCAGTATCGCACAGCAGCCTGTGTAAGCATCAGCCTGTTCCTGCAGGTTTGCCTTGTGGCCAAGTGCTGGGGCTTGACACGGAAGAGCCCAGGAGAAGCTGTACCGTAGGGATACAGAGCTGGAACAACTGCCTGTTTTTTAACAAGCTGTAATTAAGCTGACTCCTTATCTCAAAGGAGATATGACCTTATTCCTGAGTCTGCTCATTGAAACATAGTCCTAAAATCAGAAACGTTCTCTCTTAGCAATAATTTCCTAGTCCTTGGCTGAACACAAGTACATCTACGTGGTGTGTCTTGGGGCATATGTGTACATTCACACGAGCATCTAACCTTTGTCACTCCTTGTTTGCAGCTGGAGGTGCAGTGTCCCCCTGGTGTCACCCTGGGCTTTGTTGCAGAACATTGGAATTTGTGCAGGGCGGTTTACAGCATCCAAAATGAGAAGAAGGAGAACGTGATGCGAGTGCGTGGGCCGTGCTCGACCTACGGCTGTGGTTCCGACTCTGTTTTTGAGGTGAACATATATAACTATAATGGTTCCTACACACTAACAGACCTTGGAATGATCTAGCTTTAGACTTTTTTTCATGTAAATTAATAAAATAGTATGAGGAAAGCATTACTTAAACCATTGGCATAAAAGGGTTTTAAAATTATTTTTAGTGGATTATTTGGGGGTTTCCAAAATGTGAGTCCTCTTTTTATGATTTCAGTGCTTGATAAAAATGAAAAGAAGCCATTTACAACATTAAACCTTCTGAGAGTAAACAGCTTAACGTAATTCACTCATTGAGTTTTTGACTATATGTAATGAACGATTTTGTTGAGAATATAGATTCTAGGTAATGCAAATGCCCAGTACAGCACAGAACATAGAAAGCACTCTTAAGGTTATGCAAAGTGTTTATGTGTATGATAGAAGGCTCTGTCAGCATCCTCAAGGTATAAGACAGAGTTGATAACACGGAGCACTAATACGGGATAGTTTTGCCTTAATCTCAGTGGCTACAACATGACTGTTCAACACTCTGCATCTGACAAAGGAAATGCCTAGAAGTGTTTACTGGGCTTCCTAAAGAGAACTTTTCTGAATGCCTCCTAAGACTCACCATCTACTAAAATTGCTTATTTCACTGTTTCCTATGATACCTAATAAATTTTTCTTAGTTCTCATTTACATCACAATATTATTAAGTATTGCCTATTAATTCAAAGACTGATAGAGATGAGCCAAATTGCCAGGGCAAGCTGTGTGTGATCATTCCCAATGTCACCCGACATGTTAGCATTTGGATGTTGTAAGTGTCAGCATTCACCTTTTAGAAACTGAAGCCCTTTGGTACATTAAGGAGACAAGGTGGATCTGACTACAAGTGCTTGAGTGCTGTGATGTGCCCAGTGCCGTGCCTCTCCGGCTTTCTCCTGGGTTTCCTTACACTGAAAGCAACCCGTTCCTCATTCCCCATTCTCACCCTTGGCTACATAGAGAGGAATGCAGTAATCAATTCAAATCATACCCTCTGACAAGGTCCCCGTCATGTGAAGATGAAAAGAGAGCAGTAGCCTGAGAATTATAAGTTGTTCCCCAGCTTAATTATTAACCGGTGGGTAAGGATCTCAACCTTTCTTGCCTGTGATTCCCTTCTCTGAAGTTATGTAATTACCATGTCTTTTCCTGCACTGTTTTCATGCTGTCTCAGTGTGATGGTGCCTAAGTAGACGTCTAAACCATGGAATCTAATGCCTCTCAGTCACGTCAAGTCACATACTTGTCATTCTAGATCAAGTCCCTGGACGGTGTCTCCACCATCGGCAGCATCATTCGCAAGTGGAACGGTTTGTTGTCGGCCATGGCGGATGCCGACCACTTTGACATTCGCTTCCCAATGGACTTGGATGTGAAGATGAAGGCCATGATCTTTGGAGCTTGCTTCCTCATTGTAAGTCTTTTTTTTTTTTTTTTGTTATCCTAAAACAATGATTCTTTCTGATGAGAGGCAGTGCCGTGTAGTAGAAAGGGAATAATCTTGGAAACTAGGCCAACTTCTATCTGCCACTTAGTAGTTACATGCTTTGCACAATGTTTAACCCTTCCGAGCCCCAGTTTCCTCACCTGTAAAATGAAGAGGAAAATACTTTTATTTTACAGTGTTATAAATATTAAATATCATGTGAGTAAAATGGCCAGTAAAGTACTTAGAAGATATTAGGTGGGTGTAATTGCATCACGGCCTCTATTTGTTATTCTCACTATTTAAAAAATGCCTGTCCTGTGATTTCCTAAGGAAATGGAACTAAAGCTGATATCTTTTCCCCTCTTCCCAACTGCCCCTCTGTCGGTATTCCCTTTGGTGTATTACTATCCTGACATTGTCGGAGTTTTTCCACCTGTCAATGATGAAATTTAGTAAATTGCACCGCAGAGTAGAAGCCAACAGTTTCAAGTTGGTGATTGCTACTCTTTTACATTAAACTGTTCTTTACATTAAACTGCCTGCAGAAAGATTTCATGAGCTTTGGTTATTGTTGACTGCAATAGGAGGTCTCTCTAATAAACTATAAAACGTAATATCTGGTATTTTATGGATTTCACCCAATTATTTATGTCTATCTCCCTATCAATGTAAACTTATTTTTCCCATTTCAGGACTTCATGTATTTTGAAAGATCTCCACCACAGCGCTCATCAAGATAGAGGCATGCAGCAACTCACCGATCAATATGGTTAATAAAAAAATGATGAAAGTTGAGTTAGGCTTATAGTCGATCCTCAGTTATTTGCAAGTATTATTTTCTGCTTGGCAGATTATTGTTATTGAGTGTTAGCTCTGAGAGGTAGGCTAAGAGTCTGACTGTAAAAATGAGTACAATCTAAACTTGTGTTTCATCCTGAAAGCCTATGACTCAAAACATGACAAATACTTCAAACACTATAAACATGAAATATGGGAAATTGACTCCCTGAGCTCTCACATTAATAGGTCGTGAGACGTGGCCTTTTAGGGCAATCTTTGTTGGGATGGAATAACGTGATTTCTGTCTTGGACGCTCTCCTAATTCCCCTTCCATCATCATGTCCTGTTACTGAGGACAAGCTTGATTCCATAGGAAAAGAACTGTTTCTTTATCCTTCAAAAGAAAAAGAAAAGCAGACAGAAATATTATGCTCCATTGTATCAGGAAAGTTGGTTTGTGCACCTGCATCAGAAACTCATTCTGTGAAATTTGTAAAAGTTTCACTGGGAAATTGAATTTTATTACAAAATAAAACAATATATTTTTTAAATCTTAACTCTTAGATTTTCCCTCATGATCTGGAGTGGACACCTAGGAGCTGCCTGTACTGGGAGGTAGGATCAGTCTACCAGGATAGGTGCTGGCCATAGCCATAGCCAGTCAAGAGCAAATGAGAGACATCAGTCTCCTTATAAGAAACTTGCATTTAGGCTCAGTCCCCTGTAGCTCAGTGGTTAGGGCACCGGTCACAGACCCCAGAGCTGACAGGGTTGAACCCAGCCTAGGCCTGCTAAACAACAATGACATCTGCAACAACAAAATAGCCCGGCGTTGTGATGGGCACCTATAGTCCCAGCTACTTGGGAAACTGAGGCAAGAGAATTGCTTAAGCCTAAGAGTTTGAGGTTGCTGTGAGCTATGACACCATGACACTCTACCCAGGGTGACATAGTGAGATGCTGTCTCAAAAAAGAAAAAAAGAAGCTTGCATTGAATACATTTATATGTAATACATTTATCACTTAACATACAACCTCTCTTGGTCACAGATGTCTCATGTGCATATGAAATGTGTGTAGCTGACGCTCTAAAGTTGCCTTTGTACTCGTGTAGCCCATGGGCTATGAGACAGAAGACGGAAAGGTTTTTTCTTTCAGGAGGATCTCTCACGACCACCATACTGTTCTCATGGCAAGAATCGGAGTCATGTTTCTAAATTTTGACATGTGACATTTTGTGCAGCACTTGATAAAAGCAAAAGCCTCAGATTCCGACGCTGATGATGCTGCCTTGCTGCTTGTTACTTCTGTGGCAGATCAATATGTATCTACACAAAGTAATAAAACACAGAAAATAAGCTATTCTCTGACATCTGAAGCTTATCAGCAAACATCATAAAAGCCCAACAATAAAGTATCAATTGGTCTTGCATGTACTCGTTAATTAAATACATAATGGGCAAGTGAATAAGCTCTGATTAACGTGCCTCTATTGCATTTTAGCTTCCTGCTTGGACGCAGACTGTGGACTGTGCATTTTTGTCATATGTGTGTAAAATGTTGCTTACAGTTGCAATATACTTTTCAGTAAAAAATAACACTTTGGACAGTTCACATTATAATTTCAATAGTTTTTAGTGGCACTTCGTTGTGTAAAATTGGTCAGGTTGATAAAAACGCCAGGCCGTCGTCTGAATGGGATGCGCTCTTTATCTGCTCTTTATTACATAAAGAAAGACTGAGTGGTCTCAGATGGGGTTATTTTGAGATGAGGGCCTCAGCCCACCGTTCTTTTTGAAATGAAATAAAGGTGCTCTGTTTTTAAATTATATTCCTCTTTTCACGGAAAGGTATTCTACTCAGTTTCTTGTGATGTGCATTTTTACATGCTGCTGCTAGCTGTTTTTGAAAAATGTAAAAGCTGCTTTATAAAATTTTAATTGCCTTATATTTGAAAACACAACTGAGATGGTAGACAGACATATGCATTTCCTACGATGATGTGTGACATTCAATATGGGGAAATCAGACACATAATATTCAGAAAATGTATCTATACAAACTTTCGATTTTTACTTGCCTATAACCCTGTAGTTTAAGACCTGCTGCACAAATACTGGAATAAGATGTGACATTTAAAATTTCTATGTAAAGTTTTGTGGTATTAACATGTCTCTGCCTGTCTCTTACAGTTACAATTTCACTTCCTCTAAAATGTAATACCATGTACGATATTCTGTAGTACAATTTATGTTATAATTTCTGTATTTCTTAGTGGTATCTCATTGTGTAAAATTGATTTAAAAACAAACAGGAGCTATTTTGTAAAACTTGTGATTTCCTGATTTCTCGTATTTCTTGTGGCTTTTAAATAAATAGGATATGGTTAATGGCAAAATACTGTTTTATTTTTTGACTTGTGATTGAGTCATTGAGCACTTTTTTCAGAGGGATTTTTTTGAAGTAATTTTTCATTAATTATCAGGTTTATTCAGGGCCCTGGCTCTAGTATATAAATTTAATACTTTTAAGGTGATTTAGTGTAGTTGCTTAGTCGTAACTAGGTTTCTTATATAAACAAGTTATTTATAAATATTTTTTATTTCAGATTAACATGGGGGTGCATACAATTAGATTATATAGTTTGCTTCTGCAAAGTTAAAATCCAATTTATACTAGTGTCTTTTTTTTTATTAAATCATAGCTGTGTACAACAATGCAATCATGGGGTACAGTATGGTATTTTGATACACAGTTTGAGATATTTTCATCAAACTGTTTAACATAGCCTTCATGTCATTTTCTTAGTTGTTATGTCAAGACATTTATATTCCACTTTTAGAAAGATTCACTTGTACCCTTGTAAGATAAACCATAGAGGTGATCCCTCCAATCACCGTCCCTCCACCCACCCACCCCACTCCTCCCCCCCCATATTCTTAGGCTATAATTAGGTTATAGCTTTCATATGAAAGCTATAAATTAGTTTCATAATAGGGTTGTGTACATTGGATACTTTTTCTTCCATTCTTGGGATACTTTGCTAAGAAGAACATTTTCCAGCTCCATCCATGTAAACATGAAGGAGGTAAAGTCTCCATCTTTCTTGATGGCTGCATAATATTCCATTGATCAATAAATTGTGATATAGTAGTGTCTTTCATATACAAAGTATGCATATCTATTGGGTTGGAATTTATCCAACCCCTTTCTTCCTGCCCCTTCTTGAATGTAACTGGGTTTTGTTCTAATGTGAGCATGTCATTGTTAATCTACTAGTTCCAGTTTAGTCCTGAGTACATGAGATGTTGGTTTTTCTATTCTAGTGATACTTTGCTGGGGAATACATTCTCCAAATCCATCCAAGTTATTACAAAAGATACAAAATCTTCATCTTTTTATGGCTGAATAGTATTCTATGGTATACATATACCACCATTTATTAATCCATTCATATACCAAAGGGCACCTGGGTTGTTTCCATATCTTTGCAATTGTGAAGTGTGCTGCTATAAACTTTTTTTTTTTTTTTTTGCAGTTTTTGGCCAGGGCTGGGTTTGAACCCACCACCCCCGGCATATGGGGCCAGCGCCCTACTTTTTTGAGCCACAGGCACTGCCCTGCTATAAACTTTTGAGGTTAAATGTCATTATGGTAAAATGTAATCCAATTTTTGTAATATGGATTTACATTTCAAATATAATTTTAGTGCCTGAGTATCATGTAGGAAAGCTACTAGAATTTGTAACTCTCTGTGAAGGGTGCATTTTAAAATGATTTTTCTGAGGGACCAGATTTCTAGAAATTATACAGGAAAGGAAGTTGAGGTTTCCACATCCATTCCGAGTTTTCCAATCAAATAGATAAGTTCAAGGGTAGACTTAGTGTGGTGACTCCAGGGTGTGCCCCACTATTGCCCCATTGCAGCTTCGGGACACTTTTCACTCTTTTTCCCCCCAATGTTCAAGGTTTGATTTAATTTATATTGAAAGATCCAAAGTTAGGAAATCCAAGGTTCTGGATTTAATAAACGAGTATCAAATTCAGCTGTTTGGCTAATGATAGCTAATGCTTAAGATAGATCTTTTCCCATAACTTTATAGAAAGCATTTCCCTTTTCCTTGAGTCCTCTTAAGTTATAAATCTCAGAAGAGAAAGGCAGAAAGATCCATTGCAATCCAGGCAGCGTAACATGCCATGTGGGAACACTTAGCGTGGTTAGTGATAACACTCGGCATCCACTCACTATCTGCTAAGTAAATAAAAATACAGTCAGTGGACGTACTTTCCAAGTGTTCATTACAGTAATCAGTAAAGGTCTTTACCATCCTTTCCAGTATTTCCTTCCATCAATACTCACTTTATTGAGCATCTACTTAATTCAGGCACTAAGCTATCTCTGAATGCAGAGGGAACTAGGAAATGAAAAATATGCAAGTATTGTTCTCAAGGGCTCCTAGGTAGGGGACAAACAAAGTGCAAAAAAGAAGAAAGAAAGAAAGAAAGAAAGAAAGAAAGAAAGAAAGAAAGAAAGAAAGAAAGAAAGAAAGAAAGAAAGCACACATCTTTGAGGACTACAGTGAACACATGCTCAATGGAGGTCAGCACATCCCATAGAGGCCACACCATCAGGAGCATCTCAGGTGCCGTATCATATGTTTTTGTCCCATTTAATCAGACATCTAAGGCAGGCTGGTTGTGTCATATCCCCAGGGAAACTTCCTGGCACTGCTGGAGATAAATAAGGTACATTTTACAGCTACATCTGCAGGCTGAATGCATGGTAAGTGCAATTGAGAAGGTCAATTTAGGAGATTTCATCAAGCAAAGCAGGGATTGATTGTTTATTACAGAAAACCACAAGTCCAGAACAATGTCTAGTACGTCTCAGTGCCACTGGATGTTTGTTAAACAAATGAAAATTCTAATATGTGTATGACACCGTGCTAGGTGTTCAAAGAGACGGCATTGAACATGTTGTGCTCTGTCCCTCAGCAAGGATAAAGCAAGTAAATTACATATCCTTTATCCTTGCTTTAACCTTTGCAGCACAGAGCTTTTATTATTGCATAAAACAAATAAAATTTTGTGTTTAAAATAGATACCACTGGCTTATCACAACTACATCGTGAAGTAAATGCCAGTTTCATTTTTTAGCGGAAGAACAACCTTCGAGAGTGGATGGTAATCAGGCAGTCCTTCCCCTGTTGGGTTGTAATGAAAGAAGATCAAGGGTTGTAGGAAAGGTAGGAAACAGGGAATCTCCCTGGAAGAAGCAATAGAACAGGTACAATGTAGTTGATGCAAGAGCTTGTAGAGCTGCCCAGTCTCAAGGGGGCAGCCATAGATCTGCTGAGGCCAATTGTCCTCACCCTGTTTCTGGGTGCCTGGACTGCGTTGGTGCCATGTTTACTGGTGTGTGTGCAAGGTCGGGGAAGGCCCTAGGGCTAAGGTTATGGTGGTGCCTTTACATATAATACCTAAACAGAAAAGTAAACAGCAAGATCTAAAAACGTATTCTGTAATTAGCCAGCACATGTGGGCCCGTTCCATTTTTTTGAAGTTCTTAATTCTGCTGCTTCTCAGCACAGGAGCCTGTGATGTGAAATCATGTAGTTTTGAGATGCACGGTTACTAGTTTTGCCTCAAGATTTAATTCTAGGCCAGATGGATGTGCACCTGGGCTCATATAGCATAAAATGAGCCTACTTGTGAGGCAGGTGTGATAAGGTAACTAATTAGCTATGATAACAATCATGATAATGATGAAGATGGTGATAAAAACTGGCCAACTACTTTTAAGATATCC